GGGGGGGGGAAGAGGCTGAAATCACCTGAAACACAGTGTGGGGGGGGGACAGGTCATATACTGAGGAACACATGCTGTCTCTGAGTATGGAGCAACACAAAAGTCTGCCTTTTTCAGAATTTTCTTAAATTGTGGCTTTTTTCTAAATTTTCAGATTTTACGACTTTTTTCAAAAATGTCAAAATTATGACTTTTCTGAAAATAAACTTTGTTCTGTTTGCTTCTGCTGGTTAAAGTTAAGAGTTTACATTTTTCAGTACAGCATTAGCACATTGCAGCTTCTTCTTGTTTCTGAGAGACTTTGGAAATAAAAAACAAATAGAAATGATTGGTGTCTTGGCCTTCCTTCTGTTTGCTCAGTTAGACTTTAAATGACCAAATAATCTACTTCGTGAACGCAAACATCAGTTTTGGAGATTCTCTCAGAATAACTTGAATGGGCCTGAAGCACTAGCTGTTTTACAGCTAGCATAGAGAGATAGCATAGAGATCTCCTTCAGGCTACATCACAGACCTGGAGGGGCAGCAACCACAGATCACCAGATCATATCTGAGTGTCAGCAGATCTCTGTGTCTTTCTGCTGGTTTACAGAGAGGTCATAGAGCTTTCTCTCTGAGAACAGCCACGTTCTGCGTTTCAAAACAAAACACGTTCACACAGGATAATCTCTGCAGTTTAATGAAGTTCTTACCATGACGGCAGCAAACAAGCAGCAGAGCGACTGGAACACCTTCATTTTCAGTCTGACTTGTAATCCATGAGTTCATTCAGGAGCCATTTGACATGTGAAGTTGTTAATGTGTGTCTAACGTTGTGAGTTGACTCCTGAGTGTGTGTGTTACCTGCTCGGACAGGTGTGTGTGGATACACCCTGAGTTTTGCAGCTCGACCTGATTTTCTGGTGCTGCAGGTTTAAAGCCTGAATATCTATAAAGGCCCACAGGCTGAAGGCTTGTCTTTATTATCTCAGCTAATAATAGATAATCTGAAGGTGCCCCCCCTCTTCCTGAGTTATTTAAATTGTGTTTGTTTTTTTGGCAGAATTATGATTTGTTCCCTCAAATTTCTGAATTATAACTTCTTTTTAATATTACGTATCTTTTCTGCCGATTGAAAAATTCTGACTTTCTCTCAAAATGGACTTCATTCAGTCTGCTTCTGTTAGTCTACAAAACAAGTTTGGATTCAGTTTAGATCTTTTATAACAGCATTAGCACATTACATCGAAGAGTGTAAAATAATCTGAAGGTGCCCCCCCCCCTTTTCCTTACTTATTTACATTATGGAATATTTGGGGCAGAAATGAAGATGTTTTAAAGGCTTGTCTTGATTATCTCCGCTTACAGAAATGATTCCTTTCAGCCCTGAAGGATGCATCAAAGAGTGTAAGACAATCTGAAGGTGCCCCCCCCCCCCTCCTTTGATGATCTGAAAGCACCCGATTCAGCAGCTGCAGTTAATAACCCGTGGGTTTGAACGCCTCTAAGTGAAGCGTGGTGTTTGAGGGTTCGGATCAGATGACCGGCGCCTTGTTGAGTATATAAAAGAGGACTCAGAACCTGTAGAGCATGCACACCTCTGTCAGACGGCGCTGTGGTTATCCATCGATAAGAGAGGGGATGAAATGGCTCTACAGGACCTGTGCCACCTCCAGGACGTCTTCCCGGACACGGACTGCTCTCCGTTTGGGACGAGGACAGGTTACCATGACGGTGGTTTCCCCGTCAGCAGCAGCTCTCACCTGTTCAACTTCTTCATCCCGGCGGCAGAGTTCTTGCAGGAGAGTCCTTTGCAGTTTGGACAGGTGAGCAGTGCTTCCACCTCTCAGGACCACCTCCTCTCCTCCCTCTCTTGGCCCCCCGGCCTCCCCCAGGACTCCCCTCAGTCCGTCCCCCTTCCCTTCCCCATGTCCCACGGCACCACCACCCTGGCCTTCCTGTTCCAGGGCGGCGTCCTGGCGGCGGCCGACACCCGCTCCAGCTGCTCGGGGCTGGTGGCGTGTCCGTCCTCTCAGAAGGTCCTGCCGATCCACAGCCACCTGGTGGGAACCACGTCGGGAACCTCGGCAGACTGCGCCCTCTGGAAGCGGATCCTGGCTCGAGAACTCCGGCTCTACCAACTCCGACATGGCAGACGCTTATCCACGGCCGGCGCCGCCAAACTGATGTCCCACATGTTGCACCCGTTTAAAGGGAGCGAGCTGTGTGTGGCTGCGACGCTCTGCGGGTGGGACGGAGGGGAACTGGATCAGAACCAGAAACCAACCCAGGGAGGAGCAAGAAGTGGTCCTAGTGATCCTGTCAGTCTTGAAAAGTCCTCTCAGAGCTCGATCGATGCTCAGCAAAGCTTCGTCAGGAAGCGTCCCTCTGGTCCCAGTCTGTTCTACGTCTGCAGTGACGGGAGTCGCCTGCAGGGGGCGCTCTTCTCCGTGGGTTCAGGGTCCCCCTACGCCTACTCCATCCTGGACCAGGGGGTGAGGTGGGATCTGACGCTGCAGGAGGCTACCTCCGTCGCCAGGGAGGCCGTCTACAGAGCCACACACAGGGACGCCTGGTCTGGGAACTGTGTGGACGTCTTCCATGTGTCCTCGGCAGGGGTGGAAACGCCGGGGGAGGGAGGACCTGAGGGAGGAGTACTACAGAGAGAGGGAGAGACGAGGGGGGGGGGGAGGACCTGAGGGAGGAGTACTACAGAGAGAGGGAGAGACGAGGGGGGGAGGACCTGAGACTGTGTGAAGACAAACAGGAGGAACAGAAGTACGAACATCTGTGGCCTGAAACAAATCACCTTTTGAGCATTTGTTGTAATGACAGTTGAACATGTTTGGGACAGAAAGACCAACAGGAGGGACAGAAAGACCAACAGGAGGGACAGAAAGACCAACAGGAGGGACAGAAAGACCAACAGGAGGGACAGAAAGACCAACAGGAGGGACAGAAAGAACAACAGGAGGGACAGAAAGACCAACAGGAGGGACAGAAAGAACAACAGGAGGGACAGAAAGAACAACAGGAGGGACAGAAAGAACAACAAAAGGGACAGAAAGACCAACAGGAGAGACAGAAAGAACAACAGGAGGGACAGAAAGAACAACAAAAGGGACAGAAAGACCAACAGGAGAGACAAAGACCAACAGGAGGGACAGAAAGAACAACAAAAGGGACAGAAAGAACAACAAAAGGGACAGAAAGACCAACAAAAGGGACAGAAAGACCAACAAAAGGGACAGAAAGAACAACAAAAGGGACAGAAAGAACAACAAAAGGGACAGAAAGAACAAAAGGGACAGAAAGAACAACAAAAGGGACAGAAAGAACAACAGGAGGGACAGAAAGACCAACAGGAGAGACAGAAAGAACAACAGGAGGGACAGAAAGAACAACAAAAGGGACAGAAAGACCAACAGGAGAGACAGAAAGACCAACAGGAGGGACAGAAAGAACAACAAAAGGGACAGAAAGAACAACAAAAGGGACAGAAAGACCAACAGGAGAGACAGAAAGAACAACAGGAGGGACAGAAAGAACAACAAAAGGGACAGAAAGACCAACAGGAGGGACAGAAAGACCAACAGGAGGGACAGAAAGAACAACAAAAGGGACAGAAAGACCAACAAAAGGGACAGAAAGAACAACAAAAGGGACAGAAAGAACAACAGGAGGGACAGAAAGAACAACAAAAGGGACAGAAAGAACAACAAAAGGGACAGAAAGACCAACAAAAGGGACAGAAAGACCAACAAAAGGGACAGAAAGAACAACAAAAGGGACAGAAAGAACAACAGGAGGGACAGAAAGAACAACAAAAGGGACAGAAAGAACAACAAAAGGGACAGAAAGACCAACAGGAGGGACAGAAAGAACAACAAAAGGGACAGAAAGACCAACAAAAGGGACAGAAAGATGTATATCTAATATCTTATTGCAGGGACGAATAAGAGAATTCGGTCTGAATGAATGTCAATATGTTTGGTTTGAATAACAAAAGGTGTTGTGCTAACATGCTAAGGGTAATCTACTGCTAAGCTACATGTGGCTATGTCTTGTTGCAGGTGCTTGGGTTAGAATGATTATACTTACGATTTACTCCTGCTGTGTTTTGAAGCTTCTTCTTCTTCTTGTTTAAAATGTAAAATGAAATGTAAAAAGAAGAGCTGATTGAAACTCCTAAAGTCAATCTGTCAGGTTCTGAGTAGAGACACATCAGGGACAGGGTCATGTTTGTAGACTGAATAATGAAGACGAAGCTCTGAATGATGAAGAGGACAGCAGCGTCTCTCGGATGGTTTGGGCTGCATATCGCTCCTCTGACAAACAGCTGATGTTTGTTTACGCTCATGTGGAAATGCATTTTGCTGCTGCTGGCGTTTCCAGGGACTGATCTGTGTGTTTGCTCTTTAGAGATCTCCTCCAACTCTTCATGTGCTCCAACACAGTCTCACGGCATTTCGTGTTATAGTCACAAAATTAATCTATTGATTCGTGTTCACCAACACCATTTGGCCATTGCTTTCGTGTCACACAGAGCGATTTTAAAAGCAATGTAAATAATAACAAATTGGAAGAAAATACAGATGTCAGTATTCTGAGGCTCTGAGACATTTCTTTTCCTCACGGACGGCAAAAAAACTCAGATATTATACGTTTAAAATAAAAGGGATGGTTTAGGCTTAGGGTAAGATATTGAGTAAGAACATGTTTCTATGAACCACACAGCTTCTGGTCTTCCAAAACCCGACCGGACAAAAAGACGTGTTGCAGGCACGAAACATACTACCAATAGAAATACATTGCTTTTAAAATCGTGTGACACCAAACAAATCGTGTTGGTGAACACGAATCAATGGATTACATTGATTGGTGACTATAACACGACATGCCGTGAGACTGGGTTGGCTCCTCAGACAGAACTAAGCTCAGAATCACTTTGCAGAAGCTTCTCATATCCAGAAACAAACAGACGTGTCTAAATTATATGATATTACCTTAACATCTTTATTTCAGATGATTTTCAGATCCTGCACATGAAGGGGTGGATATAGAGACGTGTGAGAGGACGCTGTTCTGAACACTCAGCCTCGGGATTTGGATTAGGAAGTTTAAATTTAGATCGCTTTGTTTTGCTTTGAGACTCATAAAGCTAGGACTCAACATGTTCTGTATATTAAAGTGATCATTCATTCATGTGTGTGTGTGTGTGTGTGTGTGTGTGTGTGTGTGTGTGTGTGTGTGTGTGTGTGTGTGTGTGTGTGTGTGTGTGTGTGTGTGTGTGTGTGTGTGTGTGTGTGTGTGTGAGCAGGAGATGTTGAAGGGTTTACATTCTGTCCAGAAAATATGATATTAAATGTGATTACTGGAAACAAAAGCTGATGGTTTTAATATCTGTGATTAAAGAGGAACAAACTGAACCAAAATAAAATGGTAATTATTCAGCGCCGGGACACCAACACTGTTCCTGCTCTTTAGAGAACCACGAGTGGGAGACACATCGAAGATAAATAACAAACTACAGGTCTGATGCAACTGTTAATCATCGAGGAAAACTGTCCTGCCAATGACCAAAGAGGCAGTGACCTCATCCAACCACACACCTCTACCTCAGTGACCTCATCCAACCACACACCTCTACCTCAGTGACCTCATCCAACCACACACCCCTACCTCAGTGACCTCATCCAACCACACACCTCTACCTCAGTGACCTCATCCAACCACACACCTCTACCTCAGTGACCTCATCCAACCACACACCTCTACCTCAGTGACCTCATCCAACCACACACCCCTACCTCAGTGACCTCATCCAACCCACACACCTCTACCTCAGTGACCTCATCCAACCACACACCTCTACCTCAGTGACCTCATCCAACCACACACCTCTACCTCAGTGACCTCATCCAACCACACACCCCCTACCTCAGTGACCTCAGTCAACACCTGACCTCAGAGATCCTCATCCAACCACACACCTCTACCTCAGAGACCTCATCCAACCACACACCTCTACCTCAGAGACCTCATCCAACCACACACCCCTACCTCAGTGACCTCATCCAACCACACACCTCTACCTCAGTGACCTCATCCAACCACACACCTCTACCTCAGAGACCTCATCCAACCACACACCTCTACCTCAGTGACCTCATCCAACCACACACCTCTACCTCAGTGACCTCATCCAACCACACACCTCTACCTCAGAGACCTCATCCAACCACACACCTCTACCTCAGTGACCTCATCCAACCACACACCTCTACCTCAGTGACCTCATCCAACCACACACCCCTACCTCAGTGACCTCATCCAACCACACACCTCTACCTCAGAGACCTCATCCAACCACACACCTCTACCTCAGTGACCTCATCCAACCACACACCTCTACCTCAGAGACCTCATCCAACCACACACCTCTACCTCAGTGACCTCATCCAACCACACACCTCTACCTCAGTGACCTCATCCAACCACACACCCCTACCTCAGTGACCTCATACAACCACACACCTCTACCTCAGTGACCTCATCCAACCACACACCTCTACCTCAGAGACCTCATCCAACCACACACCCCTACCTCAGTGACCTCATCCAACCACACACCCCTACCTCAGAGACCTCATCCAACCACACACCTCTACCTCAGTGACCTCATCCAAACCACACACCTCTACCTCAGAGACCTCATCCAACCACACACCTTACTCAGTGACCTCATCCAACCACACACCCTCTACCTCAGATACCTCATCCAACCCACACACCCCTACCCTCAGTGACCTCATCCAACCACACACCTCTACCTCAGAGACCTCATCCAAACCACACCACCCCTACCTCAGTGACCTCAGTCCATATACCACACCCACCCACTTACCTCCGAGACCTCATCCAACCACACACCTCCTACCCTCAGATACCTCATCCACACCACCACACCCCTACCTCAGAGACCTCATCCCAACCACACACCCTACCTCAGTGACCCTCATCCAACCACACACCTCTACCACTCAGGGACAGCATCCAACCACACACCCCTACCTCAGTGACCATCATCCACCACACACCTCTACTCAGAGACCTCATCCAAACCACCACCTCTACCTGACTCATCCAACCACACAACCTCTACCTCAGATACCTCATCCAACCACACACACCTACCTCAGTGACCTCATCCAACCACACACCTCTACCTCAGAGACCTCATCCAACCACACACCCCTACCTCAGTGACCTCATCCAACCACACACCCCTACCTCAGAGACCTCATCCAACCACACACCTCTACCTCAGATACCTCATCCAACCACACACCCCTACCTCAGAGACCTCATCCAACCACACACCCCTACCTCAGTGACCTCATCCAACCACACACCCCTACCTCAGAGACCTCATCCAACCACACACCTCTACCTCAGTGACCTCATCCAACCAACACCTCTACCTCAGTGACCTCATCCAACCACACACCTCTACCTCAGTGACCTCATCCAACCACACACCTCTACCTCAGTGACCTCATCCAACCACACACCTCTACCTCAGTGACCTCATCCAACCACACACCTCTACCTCAGTGACCTTATCCAACCACCAAAATCTCAAAATTCAGACTTTTTTCTCAAAATCAGATTTAGTTTTTTCTCCAGAAAACGCCTCTGATTTCTGACTACAGGGGAAGGGGGAATGTGTGTATTATTATCATACATTTGGACGT